TAATCTAGAGATGTTAATAAAATGAGTGATGAATTTAAAGATGAATATACTCATTCAATATATTGTAATGTGTTATCCCCTTTGAACCTTTGAACTACCCTTTGAACTAATCATTTCAAGCATCTCGGATATTATTTATACGAACTAAACGCTCAAATTTCCTGAAAACAGAACGATGATAAAGGATAAAGTGGTCGATCGAGCTCACCTGCAAGTGATCAAGCCCCAGTTTTCCATAGCACCTGCTGAAAAGTCAGGCAGAGCAACAGTATCCATCTTGGGCAAGGGGAACTTAATCTTGAAATAGTCCTCGTAATATTCGAGTATTCTCGGCCCGATGTCCAGAGTGTAGCGTGCTTGCTCGATAGCGTCGCTCCTCGCCCAAACTCTAAAGTTCCCCAATTCGGACTTCAACATTTCGAAGTCCGAAACAATGAAGGCTACCAGGTAAGTGGACATCGGCACCGAGCGTTCGTAATGGTCCCACACATATGTCGGTAAACCTGGCCTGGTTACAACATTGATAAAAATTTGTTAAACTGATGTTGTTGAAAATGAAAAAGCTCAAACGAAATGAAGATGTATACTTCGAGATTCAATGAATATTGTTGTTGGAAGAAGTTTTACAATTGAAATTAAAAAATGTTAAATTATATTGAAATTTCTTCAAAAATATTAAATTATATTAAGATTGTATACAATTATATCATGAAATTATACATGCATGTGAAAATGTCTAAAAAAATATTTGTTTATCTTTTGATAGATTCTTCATAAATAAAATATTATATAATTATCATTTTGCAATTAATATCCAACTAAAATTATAGAGAAAATTTTATAATCGAAATCTCTCAAGATAAGGATAACCTCGTAGATTGTATTTAATATACGAGAATTAAATTTAGAAAACATATATAAATAACAATTTTAAGATCCAAATGTTGACCAGAATAGATGTTCCTGTTATATCGAAATTATTCTACAATTACTCTGTTATTTCCTTCTTTCTGGATCGTGAAAGAATTTTTACAATTTTTTATTTTAGAATTATGGGATCTAATGACGAAGATTACAGAACAATTAACTTGGACGACACGTCTCGCGCAAACAAATTGACTACATAGAACTCGTTCTAGAAATTACCTCTGCGTTCAATTCGCGTAAATAATAAGAGTGTCATATCCGTTTCAAGTTAAATTGTCAATTACGTACATGCCTCTCGTGAATTCCATCGCGGAGACGTTGCGTAAAGTTACAAAAAACTTCAGCTTTCGAAGATTATTGAATTTTGAAATTCAGTGGTAAATATTTAAAGAAGTATCGTGAATTTTTATAGACGCAAACAAAGAAATAATAATATTATATTAATAATATTAAATAATAATAATATTAAATAATAATATTATACATTTACATCTTCTGCACTTTGAAGTTTCTGAAGAAATAATAATATTAATAGTAATATTAAATAATAAATTTAATATTAATAAATATTATAATTATATTATATAATATTATAATATTAATATTAATAAATAATAAATAATAATATTAAATAATAATATTATACATTTACATCTTCTGCACTTTGAAGTTTCTGAAAAAATACGAAAAGATTATTGCAAATACAAATGACTATTTAAATCTTATTTATTTCCTCTATTCATCTCAATTCTTTTTAACAAACAAAAAGTGTTTTGATATCTCAAGAAGCTTAATTTTCTTAAATCTTTAAAGTACCAACGATAATTTCTTACCTAAATTACTAAAAAATTTATCTAATTTCTCTATCTAAGATAACTAAAAGTTTCTCCAACATATTGTGCTTGAAATTTTCAAAATTTGCAAACATTTCTATCAAATTCAATTTGCCACCAAAAGTTCCTTTGTCTGTTAAAAAAGAAAAAAGAAAAAAGAAGAAGAAAGAAATTTAGACAGAAAAATTCAGAAAGAGTCAGAAATAATTAAATAAAAAGCCTGTGTATGTTCACAGTGCAAATGAGTTAAAAAAAAAAAAAAAAATTGAACGAGCTCGAACATTTCACCAGAACGGGGAAATATCCAAATGGTTTCCAAATAATCGATGCCAATCAACGAAGCGTATCGCGTGTCTTGCGAAATCATTTCCTCCACGTACGAGTAGTTTGGTCACTTACACGGGCATAGGCTCTCCTAGCCGACGCATGTTCGAGATGGATGTCATGTTCTTTGGCCGGGCGATGCTGATCTTAAACGTGGCTTTCAGCGCTGGCTCGTCGAAACATGGAAAAGCGCGTCGTGCATCTGTCGGCTGGAATTGCGACGCGGCGATCCATCTGTAACAGAAGGAGACCAGGTTGACAATAAAATGGTACATGGCGACACTTGGTACAGAAAGTTTCATCGACAATTGAAAATTGAAACTGAAAAAACAGGAAGAAATCGATAAATGTAAATTTAGAAAGCAATTTAGAAAGCAAGAGGGTCAGAATAATTGGAAGGAAGTTTAGAATTCTAGAGTGATTAGTAAACGAATATTTTATGAAAAATTTGTAAGTGCAGAAATCCGCACGATGCGTATAATATGTAAATATATATAAAATATCCAGAAGTGAAGTGTAAAAGGATCTCAAATATCTATTTGGGTTCGTTTAGATAAAAATTTAAAAATGCATAAAAATCTATAATCTACTTCATTAATATTTTGTTAATATTTATATCTTCTTTATTAATATCTATTATTGTTCTTATCGTATTCTTTCGTATTCTTATTGTATTGTTCTTATTGTATTTATATCTTCTTTATTAATATCTATTATTGTTATATCGCGTATAATATGTAAAAATATATAAAATATCCAGAAGGTGAAGTGTAAAAGGATCTTAAATATCTATTTGGGTTCCTTTAGATAAAAATTATAAAAATCTATAATCTACTTTATTAATATTTGTATCTTCTTTATTAATATCTATTATTGTTCTTATCGTTAAAAAATGGAACCT